ATCTTAGTCTTCCTCCATACAAAGCATATACTCCATTAAAGATTTATCTTTTCTAAAGATCTACACATCCAGCTTCTCTTCTTCTAAAACCTCAAGGGAGATGGGCGGTTCAGAAATGTGAAAAATAAACATTCGTTAGGGAATAAATTCTTGTTAGGCTTAATACTATAATTGTTTTTGTACTTACTTGGTTTATATCAATTCCCATAATGTCATGGTTATGCACACACCCAATCTTGGAATGGCTGCAGCCACTTTGCAATTTTAAAGAGCGCATTCGGAGAGGTGCTTCTTTCATCAAATCATTCACATAGTTTTGATAAACATTCATTAAAATTTGAGAATTTTGAAGCCTTCATTATCTTTTCTACATGTATAAGTCAGAAAGGTATGAATTGCATTTGTGTGATTTGTTTTCCAAGGACAGAATATAGTAAAGAAGAGCTGAGTTGGTTCAAAGGAAGGGATCGTTTACTATATTCTTAAACATAATATATAATAATTGTCATATTAAAATGGGTACAGGAAGCCGCTGGGCTTTTCAGGAAAAGAGCTAATGTACAAAATGTTTTTCCTAAATGAACAAGTTACTTTTTCTCCTTGCTTGAGTCTCATTCTTTATGCTTCAAATCTTTTTTCAGATTTGGATGTTGATTTATTTGGAAGAATATATAAAACTTTAAAACATTAACATGGACAAAAATTAACATAGTGTAATGTTTAGTCAGCTGTTAAATCCTCCTCTTGTGTACTGTTAAATAAAAAAGAATCCCAACTGAGATTATTTTGACAATAGGCATCTACTTCTTTCAAAAAATGCTAAGAAATGAATTCTAAGGACTAATTTTAACCATCATGGGTTCTAGCTTTGCTGCAATCTAAGGCCTTTTAGACATGAAGCTGTCTTCTTCTTTAACAGAAGAAAACAAAACATAAACAGAATATTTATGAGATATAACTTCTGCTGAGGATTTTCATTCTAAACTAATTTACTACGATATCAGAAGCACTACATCTAGTCAAATTTTCTTCTGTGTTGTTGGAAAAAAATCAGTCCAAACTTATGTATTGGATTGATCCAGAGGTGGTATTCAGCAGGTTCTGACCAGTTCTGGAGAACCGGTAGCAGAAATTTTTGTAGTACGGAGAACCAGCAAATCCTACCTCTGACTGGAGATTTTACAGTATCCTTCTCCTGCTACACCCACCAAGCCATGCCCACAGAATCCGTAGTAAAAAAAAAAAAAATCCACTACTGGATTGACCAATATAATTAGAGGCACCAATATTTTTTTCAGATGCACAGATGCTTAATTCAGGAGTGTTTGTGTTGATCTTTAGAGCCCCAGATAGCTGTGTATAATCTGCATCTGCTCAAATACCACAAGAAGCTTCCAGAGGCCTTCCTCCCAGTTTCCCCACTAAACTGGGAGCTACAAAAAAGGCATGCTTCTATTAAGCTTACAAATAGGTAGACCTGGTCATTGTGTGACACATTCTGAGCAATACAGCTTTGCTGTGACCAGATTCCCTCAAAATACTTAGGCGTATTCCGGGGTACAAAAGCAATATATCTATGCATCTTTCTAAAGCAGTTCTGTGATCCTGGGAAAATATATAGCTGCTTTAAAGAATTACACACGGATGCCATGTTCACACCACAGCACATTCTATATTTTTAGCATCGTTTTTTAGCTTTACTGAGCGACACTCAGTAGTTGTTTGTTTAGTCCCAAACAATTCTGTAAGACAGATTTATTTATTTACATTTATTGGCCACCAAACTCCAATGGACTCTGGATGGCAAACATAACTAGGAAAAACATAAACATGGCTAAAAACATTAAATCACATAGGTAGGCTAAAGTAATCAAACCACAAAACACAACTGGGGTCAAACAAATAGTAAATATCAACTTCCTGGGACCGAAGCCAAGCTTTCAAAACCACAGAAAAGAGGGCCACAGTCCTGAAACCTGGGTACATCATGAGGTATATGTTACTGTGTGTATCACTACATTCTGAAGCTTCTATGCCTTCTGGGTGGTCTTCAAGGACAGACCCCTGTACAACATATTGCAATAATCTAATCATGAAATGAATACTCTCTAAAAGGCCTTTTGTTCAAGGAAAAGGGTGCAATTAGCGGACACAATAAAACTGCAAAGGCCCTCTGAGCCACAGCTGCCACCTGGTCTTTGAGTAGTAGCTGGGAATCCAGAAGGACTGCCAAGTTTGTTTATTTGATTTCTATCTCTCCTTTATTATTTTATAAGTAACTCAAAGCAATGAATATAGCTAATACTGAGGATGAAGGTTCATTTTCCAAGTTTGTGGGTTGGCTTCCGAACATTTCATTACCAGGCTAGGTAACATCTTCAGCGGAGTTTAGGGGATGCCAGTGTCAGTGTCCCTAACCATAACTCCGCTGAAGATGTTATCTAGCTTGGTAATGAAACGTTCAGAAACCAACCCACAAGCTCGGAGAACGAACCTTCACCCTCATCCAGAACCCTCATCCTGCATCTCCTATCTTCTCACAACAACACTGTGAGGTAAATTGGGCTGAGAGAATGACTGGCCCAAAGTCATCCAGTTTCCAAATTGCTCACTAGCCAGCTATTTTAACAAAATATTTTAGGTAGGGTTTATTCAGAGTTTAAGGTACTTATTACTTCCAAATTTCTAAAAGAGATAGTTGAGGTTTCACTACCCTGTTTTTCAGGGTAGAAGAGAACATAGCAGAGAAGAGTTGATTCAAGGAAACAGTCACAAGTTTCTTATACACCTACTTGATTTTGTCCATCCATTTCAATTAATTCAATATTATCAATGCATTGACAAATATGCTGCTTTTACATTTTTACTAGAGTGTAAGATCTTGCCACTAGGCAAATTAAAATTTCTTTGAAAAATGAAATAAAAGTTATTAAGGAAGGGGTTTGTAATAAGATTTGGGCTTACAAATAACATTGGTAGATGGTATATGATTCTGGTGAAGCTGGAATTTATAATCTGTCACTAAAAATAAATTAGACTCTGCTGGAATAACTGCAGTGAAATACACACATTTTCAATTGTGGTGGGTATGGCCAAGATTAGAAATGTTGAGGGTTAAATATTAATTTACGAAAATGTGTACATTTGTCAATCAGGAATCAAAGTACACCCACAATTACCTTTCTTGCAAATACAGTGGTACCTTGGTATTCGTCACTTGAGTCCAGGAGTTTTCATCAGTCAAAAAAATGATGCCTACTTCTTAACTCAGATATGGTAAGATATAAACATTATAAAAAGGTCTGTAGTTGAAAGTTAATGGTTTACAAATATATATCACTGTAAATATCTTGAAATGTATATTTATAAGACATGAAAGTTTTTGCACTATATACTGAGAAATCATTTTACATTATCTTGTTTTTAATTAGGAACCAATTAGGAACAGTTCTTTCAAAAATAATGTCATTGAATGTTAATAGACATTTCAACTTGAGACTGTTTCATAAGAATATATACAATAGGTAATAGAACCTGCAGAATCACTTTTGTGAGATAGACAGCCATACAAATTTGATTAATAAATAGAATATTTTGAAGTAGTGGTTCATTTCTCAGCGTTATACTCAACTTCAAACAAAAAAACCCCAATTTTATTCTTGTAACATGGACATCTTAAATTGTCTTTAATATTGATAGAATGCTTTTTTCTTTTCTTTATTTTCAGTACTGTACTCTAAGCTATCTAAATAATAGAATGTCAATAATCTTTAATCATATTAACAGAAATATCACTGCACTGAAACAATGTGATGTATTAAGATTTATAATAGCATAATAAAAAAAGAAAAAAACCTACTTTGTGATATCACAAAGCAGATATGAAAGTGCAGAGCGAGAACCTATCACTTTCTTCAAAAGGATGAAAGTTTGACAGATGCCATGACAACCATAAAAAGAGGGCAACCATTGCATCAGGATACCCAGATGCTGCTGTCAGCCAGACCCCTGATCCCTTGTATCTTGATGTCATGTCACTGACATTTTAGCATTATCGAAACTAGCTTTAGACCCTTCTCCCTGGAGGCCTTGGAAAGAGGCTTGCCGTTTCTTGCATTGGACACGGAAGATAAAAACTAAAGGTTTCTAACAAAGATGAGGGAGGCAAACTATTTACCAAAGCACCAGAAGGCAAGACAAGAACCAATGGAGGGAAATTAATCAAGCAGAGAAGCAGCCTAGATCTACGGAGAAATTTCCTAAAGGTGAAAATAATCAACCAGGGTAATGGCTTGCCTTCAAAAATTGTGGGTGCTCCATCACTGGAGGTCTATGGCGATTCTCAGCCATCCAGGTCCCGGTTGTCCCAAAGGTGATTTTTCAAAGAGGCAACTGGACTTTCTGGTTTTTCTTTGAAGACTTTTCATTTCTCATCCAAGAAGCTTCTGCAGCTCTGTTCACTGGAGGTTTTCAAGAAGAGACTGGACAGCCACTTGTCTGGAATGATAGGGTCTCCCGCTCAGGGAGGGCGTTGGACTAGATCGGGTGTCTCCAACCATGGCAAGTCCGCCAAGGCTTAAAGTTGCCATGGTTGGAGACCCTGGATTAGATGACCTCCAAGATCCCTTCCAACTCCGTTATTCTATTCTGTGTTAAGGTTGCACTGTGAGGCTGGGCTGCACCACTGCTCCAATTTCGTCCTGCCCGTTAGAGCAGGGGTCTCCAACCTTGGCAACTTCAAGACTTGTGGACTTCAACTCCCAGAACTCTGGGAGTTGAAGTCCACAAGTCTTAAAGTTGCCAAGGTTGGAGTCCCCTGCCTTACAATGATTAAGAAAACGAGCCAGAGCAGGAGGAGGAGGAGCCAGCGCCATGCTGACTGAGGGCGAGGAGGCCTTCCAGAGGCTTAAACGTCACGCAGAAAGGCGGCCATTTTGGAGAAGGGAAGGGAACGAAGCCACGGGATCGCCGCCGCGCAGAGGCGTGGCCGGCCGGTCTTGCCGGCCTCCCACCGGGGGAGGAAAACAAAAGGGAGGCGAGGGGCTGCCGTGAGGATTCGCGCTCTCCTCAACGGAGCCGGTTGCCATTCTCCGCCATGGGACACCCAGCGACCTGCCCTGTGCTGCTGCTCCTCTTCCTCCTGGTCAATGGGGAGCTTCAGGGCGACGCCGAGGCGTCGGAGCGAGCCACGCTGCTGAGCCCTTTCTTCGGCACCAAGTCCCGCTACGAAGAGCTGCACCCGTACCTTCTCCGGGACCCACTGTCTCTCGGGCCGCCGCTCTCGGGCTTCCCGCTGCCGCCGGCTTCCTGCACCCCGCTTCAGCTGAGCGCCGTCTTACGCCACGGCACGCGCTTCCCCACGCGCAAGCAGATCGAGAAGCTGGCGCGCCTGCACGGCCTCCTGCTACGGGGCGGCGGCGGCGAGCACTGCTCGCTGGCGGAGCGCCTGGCGCGATGGGAGATGTGGTACCAGCCGGACATGGACGGGAAGCTGGCCCCCAAAGGCTTCCTCGACATGAGGATGCTGGCCAAGCGTCTTGCCTCCCGCTTCCCCAGCCTCCTGGCTCCCGGTCGGCGCCTGGCCTTCACCAGCAGTTCCAAGCACCGGTGCGTGGATAGCAGCGCCGCTTTCCGCGAAGGGCTCCGCGAGGCGCTTTACGGGCGGATGAGCGAGGGCGGCAAAAACGGTGAGTCCGTTCTCCTCGGGCTTGAAAATGGGATAACTTGACGCGGGACAGCTCGCTGCGGAACCATTTTAACAATTTTATTTAATTATTATTCTTTTGTGTGTGTGTGTATGTATATATATATATATATATAATTAATATATAACTCACACACACACACACACACACATAAAATTTTGCCCTTCGCATTTCATTCTGTCCCTCCTTTGGCGTTGCTCCTTTCTTCAACGAGTCAACTGTTTTCTTTGATATTAGTGTAATTCTTGTCCTGCAGCGAGTTGACTGTGGTGAGTTGGCCGAGGCGAATTGTCATTAGACACCCCAACCCACCGGCTTCCCCCAAGTCAAAAAGGAAGAAAAAAACCCACCTTTCCTCCCCCTTGCATACTATTTCATAAAAATGGCATGCTGTTCCCTCTTTACATTGCGAATTAGTTTCATAAAACGCTTCCCTCCTTTAAATTGCAAATTTTATGATCCGTCATCGTTTCCAATACAGATACTTTTTCTGCACCTATCTGATTTTTACTTTCTTTGAAGTTATAATTCAACCACGCAGAGGGGGGAAGGGGAGACCTATACCCATAATACTGTAATCCCCCCCTTAAAAATACTTTAGACCTGAAAAGATTTATCTAGTAGCTGGAATACAGGCTGGAGGTATGTGTGTGGGGGGTGTCTTTTGGTTTTTCTGGTCTACAGTTAGACCAGAACTTCTCTCCTCTCCCAGGCTGCTCAGCTGGCTTGGTAGAAGGGCTGTAGATAATGGAGCAGGTTATGGTAAGATTATGTTTAAATACATCTTGAAGTAACCGCATTCAGTAAACAGGTACAATTTGCACTTCTAGAGGTTCAGGATTCATTTGAGGCCCCCTCCTTTCCCCAGTGGCCTTTGCTAGTGTCATTTCAATCAGAATAAGAGCTGAAAAGGTGTAGAGTTGTAATTGCAGGAATGTTCTAATCTCGGATGGCAAACCTCAGATAAAGAATGTTTCCAAGCAAATACAACTCAGGTAAACAAAGTCACTAATCTAAAGGAGGATTAGAGAGAGGAAGTAAACATATGTTAGACTTTAGCTAGAAATAATTAATTGTATTAATTACTGTGCTAAACAGTAACGAAAGTTAAGCAGTAACCAAAGTTAACCAATGATGGAGGATAATTAAAAATGTGTATAAATGCAAGACTAGACTCCAATAAAGATCATCATGATTCAGTTGTTCATGATCAAACAACTCGACTGTCTCATCATTACAACAAAAAGGACCTTGGAGTCATTTCCAGGGGTCGCCAACGTTTTGGACCTCGGGGACCACCAATCTCATAATTTTAAATCCCGCGGACCACTAATATGAATTTTGACTAATGGTGGCTTGCTGACATTGGTGGGAAAGTCAGTCCCATATTCCAGAGCTGCAGTAGTCACAGGACTGGCCCTTTGGTCATCCCAGAGCAGCTGCTCCTCCACCCATGTGCACCAGCCTGCCATGGACTCGAGGAGCTGCTCCTGGATGACCAAAGGGCCAGTCTTGTGACTACTGCAGCTCTGGAATATGGGACCAACTTTCCCACCAACATCAGCAAGCCACCCCGGGGTGGATTTCCCTTCCCTGCCGTTGGTCTTACCTTCCAGTTCTAGCTCACATGGCTCTACTCAAGGTAAGGTTTGCACTCACTGGCCAAAGGGTGGGGGCCAGTGGGTGGGCGGGCCATGTGGGCAGCGCAACCTTGTGTTCCCGTGCAACCTGGATTAATTGCTTGGGGGGGGGGGACATTTCTCTGCAGAGCACCAAAATTTTCTTGCAGGCCACCAGTGGTCCCTGGCCCACCGAGCAGACAACCACTGTTTTAGTCCAACTCCTTGCTCAAGCAGGAGACCCTATACCATTTCTGGACAGATGGCTGTCCAGTCTTTTCTTAAAAATCTCCAGTGATGAAGCACTTACAACTTCTAAAGGCAAGCCAGTTAATTATCTTCACTGTTAGGAAAAGTTTCTCCTTAATTTCAGGTTGCTTCCCTCCTTGATTAGTTTCCATCCATTGTTTCTTATTCTGCCCTCCCGTACTTTGAAAAATAAATTGATCCCCTCTTTCTTTGTGGCAACCCCTCAAATACAGGAATACTGCTATACTGTCACCCCTAGTTCTTTTCTCTAGTCTGGCCATACCCAATTCATTTTAGGGTGTATGTGGGAGGAAAAGACCAAGGTAGAAATAACTGAACAGCGATTGGGCAAGATAGTAATTATTGTTTACACTTCTCTTCTGATTAAAAGCATTGTTACTCCTTGGTTGCTGAGCAATTTCCATAACATTTCAATTCTGGCTGGATTTCACAAGCAAATCAAAAGATCTATGGGTAGTCCTTGACTTTTCAGTAACTTGAATTATCAATTAAGGCAGTGATAGGCTGACACAACAGATACTTCCTGAACTTGTATATGACAGGGCAACCACATCCAAAGACATGTTTTGGCATGCTGCACTCCAGCCTCTAGATCTTGGAATTTCAGTCACTAAGTAATGTCATCATTAAAAACAAGATGTCACATGATTGCTTTAAGACCGTAATCCTGTCTTCCCTGTTGCACCTTAATAAAAAATCGTGTGTATCAAGCTAATCCATTCTGGCCTTGGTGCCTCCCAGCCCTGACCCTCAGTAACTTAAGGGGCTGATTCCAAATGTCCCCACCTGTTTATCTTCCCCCTATCTTTGTCCTAGCTCATTTCAGTTTGTTGTTTTGTTTGTTTTTTTGCTCCCACTGCTGATGAGGCATGCCTGGTCTGGCTACTGGGCCAGGCTGAACTGAGCTTCAGCTGCACAGGACTGGGTCAGACAATTGAAAGCAGTCCCTAGGTGACAGCATGGCGAAAATTCTCCTTTTTTTCAAAAAGCTGGACTGCAACATACCAAAACACCCATTGGTTGCCCTGCCACACACAATGTTGGTTATCCTGCCACACACAATGTTGGTTATCCTGCCACACACAATGTTGGTTATCCTGCCACACACAATGTTGGTTGCCCTACCACACACAAGTTCAATAAGTCTCTGTTGAACCAGCCTATCACTGTCCTAATTCTTTTATCTCCAGCTGTCAGGAGAGGATATTCTCCAACAGTCCTAATAAATTTTGAAAAGAACAGCAAACTCATCTCTTACGTGGACCTTCTGTTTTCAAACTTTACTCGTACGTACCCTTCAATTATGTGGGCTTAAACTAACTTCAGCACCCTGTCATTTTTCCCATCACTTTATTTGCCGTAGTGGTTTTATCCAGAAGTCAAGAGAGTGGAGCTCAATAAGCAAGAGAAGCATTTTGGGGATTAATTCTTGCCCTGTCAAAATTCACTTGGCCTCTTACGGGTAGTCCTTGACTTATAACCAAAATTGAGCAGAACATTTCTGTTGCTAAGCAAGATTGTTGTTAAGTGGGTTTTGCACGATTTTAAGATCTTTCTTGCCATAGTTTTTAAGTTAGCAACACAATTGTTAAGCGAATCTATCTTTCCTAATGACTTTGCTTATCAGAAGGTTGCAAAAGGTGGTCTTATGACCCTGGGGACACTGGAACAATCCTGAATCTAAATCAGTTGCCAAGCATCTGAATTTTGATCGTATGACCATCAGGATGCTGCAATACTCCTAAGTGTGAAAAATGGCCATACGTCACTTTTTTCAGTGCCGTTGTAGCTTTAAATGGTCACTAAACGAACTGTTTGTAAGTTGAGGACTACCTTTATTTGTTTGTGAGGGTCAGTCTCATCTCTAGCCATCCGTTGCTTTCACATTTGCTTTCTAATTCCTGATTTGGGGCTCATCTTTATGAATATGTGGTGCTCCTCCTTTCCATGCTTTCCATACTGATCCTTTTTTGATTGCCATCTCTTTCCTTTAAGAAGACATGTCTTTGAGTACCTCTTAAATTAATGTGCTGAATATGCTGTTAGTTTAGGAACCACCCAATTAGTTCTTTTGTGTTTATACTGCCTGCAGGCTATACATGGCCCTCTAGCTGCACAGTTTAACAATATTAATCATTCTAGCTGACTGCAAGCTGCATAATCCAAAGTATTCTGCCACAGAAATATTCTCAACGTTCTCATTTACAGCTATCTAGTGCCGAGAGAAAAAGTTAGATTAGGTGGAGTTTGTTTTGATGATCCTCAGATCCACCTTTGACCATTGATTTCCTAACACTTGTATGATTTCTTGTAAAACAAAGAAAACAAATATCTGCAGTGTAGGCTCTAAAATAGGTCAATATAATGTACAAACATGCCCTGAATTCTCTTTAAAGCTAGGGAGGAGGGAGAAAGTTCTGGTTCCATTTACATTGGATCATCACCCACTCATCATGACTCTCAGCCACCCACAATATTAAATGTAGTCTCAAGCCAGCAAAAGCTTGACTTTTCTAACCTTACGTTATACGTCATAGTTTTGGATGGGATGGCAGTCGCAGCAAATACCAGTATGTTATAGTCGTTAAATGTTGACCTGGATCAGATCTAATCTACCCTAAATTGTGCAATCTCATGGGTGGCTTTGAGGTAGTAATTCTCTTGTTCCCCAATACAGATAGTTCTTGACTTAGGACTATAATTGAGCTTGGAATTACATGATCACACCCAATTTTACAACCTTTTTGCGGGCTTTATTATATCAAGCTATTTTTTGCCAGAAACTAGAAGTAAATGCAGGTAGTCCTCAACTTATAACCACAATGGAGCCCAAAATTTCTGTTGCTAAGTGAAACATTTGTTAAGTGAATTTTACCGCATTTTATGACCTTTCTTGCCACCTTTGCTAAGTGAATTACTGCAGCTGTTAAGTTGGTATCACGGTTGTTAAATGAATCTGGCTTCTCCATTGACTTTGCTTGTCAGAAGGACGCAAAAGGGGATCATAACAACTGTCATAAATATGAGTCGGTCACCAAGCATCTGAATTTTGATCACATGACCATGGGGATGCTGCAACGTTCCTAAGTCACTTTCAGTCCTGTTTTAATTTCGAGCAGTCACTAAATGAACTGTTGTAAGTTGAGAACTATCTGTACCAGTTCCTGGCAAAAAAAGAAATATCAAAAATCGCAATCACATGACTGGAGGATGTCGCAAAAGGTTTTGAACACAGGCTGGTTGCCAAGCACCTCAAATATGATCATATGACCATTGGAACTTTGAAACTGGATTGTAAATAGATGTGGGAAAGTCCGTTGTAACTTCAAGTGGTTACTGATTGTCCTCAGCCAAGGATTATCTTTATACATCACAGGGTGTTTTTTATGGAGAACAATAGGAAATGTTACATACAATGCTACAGTCTATAAATGTATAAGTTAGAATACAGTGTTTCTCATATAATAAGGCCGGGTCTTATTTTTTTTTGAGCCCCGAAAAAATGGCTAGGCCGTCTTTTTGGGGGTGACTTAATTTTCCCCCCCCTTGCATCTTCGGGCGGGCGGCAACGGCTTGGATGTTGACCTCGGCGTTGGTGGGGCACTTCGTATCGGGGTCAACGCAGGCAGCACCATATCCGGGTGTGCAACAAAAGTACTTCCTAACGGCAAGCCCCCCCCACCATTCCCCCCATTTCGCATGTTTTAATATAGGCCTTAATTTGGGGGGAGGGGCTTAATTTCATTTCATGCCTATAAAACATGCTGGGACTTCCTATTGGGGGAGGCCGTATTGTTGGAGAAACAGGGTAGAATAGAATAGAATAGAACAGAACAGAACAGAACAGAACAGAACACAATATTGGGCAAGTGTGATTGGACACACAAGGAATTTGTCTTGGTGCAAATACTCTCAGTATACATAAAAGAAAAGATACATTTGTCAAGAGTCAAGAATCTATTCTATTCTAAATAAGAATAGAAAGGCCGAAATATTAAAACCAAGTTCTGTTTTATTTAGTTTCTTGTTTGCTTATTCAAGAACAATTTTGGGGTTAAGGTCATTAAAAAAAGTACTTCATAACTTATTTCAGTAAATTAATCACAGATTTTAAAATTTATTTTTCAATTAACAAAATTAACAAAACCAAAGAGAAATAACACACATAATTATAAAAGAAGAAAACAGAAAACTTAAAGAATTTTTGCACTTCGCATTACACATTCAAAATTGAAATTCTCCATGAAGGGAACTACCTAGCTATTAGGGGACAGAAAACAAAAGAAAGTGTGTGCACACACACGTGTGTGTGTGTGTGTATAATATATAATAATATAATATATATACATATTCGTACACACACACGCACACATACACATACATAACATACGTACATACACACATACATGTTCGCTTACTGTTTATTTCGTCCTGTTAACAAGACCTAGAATGGAGAAGATTTTATGAGGCTTGTGTTCATATATTCTTATTACACTTTATTTAAGTAATAATTATAGTTCATAAAAGGTATTACTGAGCAGGTGTTGAAATAATGGATATAGATTGAAAAAAAAATCATATGAGTGAACAGTGTGAGGTGGCTTCAAAGTATTTATGTTGATTTTTATCACACTTTTATTATATTTTTATAAATAATTCAAAATTGCGACCATACCTAGTACTCCCTTTTTCTCCTGTTTTTCCCCACTGCAGCAACCCCTTGAGGTGGGTTGGATAGAGAAAGTGACTGGCCCAAAGTCCACTTTCATGCTTAAGGAAGGATTAGAATTTACAGTCTCCTGGTTTCTAGCCTGATGCCTTAAACCCGTGGTCCCCAAACTTGGCTATGCTGGCTGGAGAATTCTGGGAGTTGAAGTCCACAAGTCTTAAAGTTGCAAAGTTTGGAGACTTCTGCCTTAAACACTAAACCAAACTGATTAGTATCAAACTTCCAAACTTGAAGTATGGTTTCTAAATCTCAGGAAACAGTAATTCCAATATAATCTGCACTGGTTATACCTCAACCTGAGAATACTATGACCTATTCTTAGAGCAGTGGAGAAGAATGACTTGAAAAGAAGTCCTCTGAAGAGAGAATATTTAGCTTTAAGAAAAGACAAGTGTGGAAAGGTACAGAAACATTTTTCATCAAGTTCCAAAGTGCTGTCCCTTAGAAGGTTAAGATTTGTTTTCTGTCATTCTGGAGCATAATAATTTTCTTAAAAGACAGATTTACGAAAAGACAGATTTCAGCTAAATATTAAGAAACATCTCAAAGCATTCAACAGTAGATCCAATTTTCAAGGAAGACAATGGCTTCCTTTCACTAAATTTGTTCAAACAAGAGCAGAGTAATAATCTGTCAGGTCTATTTTGATGTTAGTGTCTTATTGTTGGCTGTAATCAATTTTTTCGAACTTGACAACTGTAAGATGTCTGTACTTCAATTCCTACAATTCCCAGACAACATGCCAAGTTTGAAAAACAGTGGACTAGATTATCGTCTCCATCTCTATGATTCTGTGTTTTATGTTGGGACAGAACAGGAAGGGTTATAAAACCAGTAACTAAGGTTCCAGCATCTTTAATTGTGGTGGCATGTCTCTGATCTTGATGTATTTGGAAAAGAAGATAAAAAATAGCTGTCAGTTTTGGGAAACGATGGCAATGCCAACATTTTGAGAGTGGGATTCAATAGCTACAAAAATGTGGCAATGTATATCTAAATGGTATATTGTTAATTTTACCAATTTGGAAGGTGACTGCATTTTAGGCCAACCTCGTTTTCTGCTGTGCTTTGAAAAGTAGTCAAAAACATCAGCAAAAAGAATGTAATCCCTGCTTTGTTCCTCATGTATTTGCACATGGAAAAAGCTGGGGATAGACCAGGCCAGACTGAGGGATGACTAACAATAGTCTTTCCCAGCAACAGTGGCTTCATCAAGCAGTAATTAAAATTAATTCAAAATAAATAGCCCCTATGACCACAACTGGGATTGGAATTTCCATCACTGGGCAAGGTCATCATTAACTGACTTGTATTTGATTTTGCGGCCTTTTTGCCTTGGTTATAACCTCGTTCATTACAGAATCATACTGCTATTAAGCAAATCTTAACCTTCCCCTATTGAATTTCCTTATCAGAAACCAGCTGGGAGAGAGTCATAAATGGCAATTATATGACTCTGGGGTGCTATAATCATTGTAAATACAAGCCAGTTGTCAAGTACCTGAATTTTTAAAATGACTGTGGAAGATGCTGCAGTTGTTATATGTGTGAAGACCAGTTTTAAGTCCCGTTTTTTCAGCACCGTGGTAACTTCAAACAGTAGCTAAATGAACGCTCCAAAATCAAGGACTACCTAATTAAAAGTGTTACAACCAGTGTTCCTTAAATATGTTCCACAGGAGGCCACTGTTTTTGCCTACAATTTCCAGATTGAGTTATGAGTGTGTCTAAGAATAGTTTAACTTTGTGTGTGCATTCACTCACCATGGCAGTGCAAATCATCAGAAACAATACTCTTAAGACATTTCAAGCAAGGAAATAATAACATTTAATCTTCAGCTCCATAAAGTATTGCAACTTGAAGCTATACACTATTCTTTGACACACTCATAACTCAATCTCCGTTTAGACCTCTGCAGGCCTCAGCCGGCATTTTTCTGTTGAAAATGGAGCATTGGAGGGGTGGGGCGGGCTGACCCGCCTCTCCTAACCTCCATTTTGCCCAGCAAAGTGCTGGACAAATGTTGCAGAGCCTCTGCGGTTGTTTGTAAAGGAGAACAACAGCTGTGGTGCTGCAAGATTCATAGTTTTGGGACTTGTTCATAAACATTAGGGGGCGCTGATTGTATAACTTCAAACATTCGCTAATGGAACGCTCATAACTTGGGGATTACCTGTGTCATACTGTTTTTGCCACACCCAGGGATGCTGAAAAATGCTTTCAAAGGATATTTAGTGAAATCTTCATCACTAGGAGAAAAGATGTTTACATAACTGATTTAAAGCAATTAAGTCTTTAAATGTAAACTAGTAGTTAAAACGGCAATGTGATGACATAATGATGAAATAAAGAAGTCACTAACATTACTTTGTTAATTTTCAGTTACCTTGACAGAAACATTTGAAATCAATGATAAATTGATGAGATTTTTTGATCACTGTGAAAAATTTGTACAAGACGTTGAAGACAACGACACAGCCTTATATGAGGTTGACGCCTTTAAGGAAAGCCCTGAGATGATGAAGATAGTGAATAAAACCATACAAAATTTATGTCTACCAGCAGAAGACTTAAATGCAGGTAATACTCTGTCATTAATGTCATAGTTTTAATTCCTTTCGTGTCTTTTGGCAGTGTTTCTTGTTCTCCGTGTCTATCTGAGCCTCTTTCTTCTTCCTTTAACTCCGCCTCACTGGAATTTCTTTGTTCTTCTGCCATCGCCATTATTTTCTTTTCCAATATTTCCAGTAATTCCCTTCTTTCTTTCAGCATTCCTCTTACAGTTTGCAATTCCAACTTAAAGTCTTTGCTTTTTTCTCCAAGCACCCAAATTTTGATCATGTGACTATGGGGACTGCTCCAGTTATAAGTATGAGGACTGCTCGTAAGTTGCCTTTTTTCAACACAGTCATAACTTCGAATGGCTGTTAAATGAATGGACATAAATTAAGGACTACCTGCACATTTGCCACTAAGAGTAAAAACTGAAACTTGATTCACGTTTATGTGGTAGCCTGAAGAGAGGAGACAGACGTTTACCATTGAGTCCCACTGGTTGGAAAGGCTTTGTATGATCAAGTGTGGAGGACAGAAAGGAAGTAACCTGTCAGCAATTTTCATGCAAAGCTCAGGTAATTCAATCCCCAAACATGTAACTGCCGTAGAACATCCACTGCTAGCAAGCTGAGTAGCTACTAACTAATAATATCCTTGCAATCGTACATTGTTTATACTTCCTTTTAGTAAGGCTTGAGTAAAAGCATGCTACAGATATTAGGATCACTGTCTTTTCAAAAACCCGAATAGGAGAAAAATCTTAAAATTCCTCAGAGTAACGATGTTGAGTTATATAAGCAGTGGGCTTTTTAATTAGAATATTCTGAATGATAGAAAATACAGTAAGTACAAGTAGATAGGTAAATAACTAGGTTGTCCTATAGTATGCATGCTGATTTTGTATAGTATATTAGTATCTGCCTACATATGAGCATGTAGAAAAGATAATATATTAAGTTTCAGGTTTCACACTTTGCAGCTTAAATGAACAAGCATTTGAACCAAGTTTGCAAGCACCTCCAGAAAATAAGGACTTATAAAAATTCTGTTTTTGCTTATACTAATCAAACAAATTCACTGCAAACCCATAACACCTGTCTGCATATCATTTATGAATAATATAGATAAGTTTGTATGAAACACCTGGCAGTTCGTACTTCATATTCATCTTGACATCTGACTCAAATTGTAGATGCAGAAATTGTAGATAAACCAATAATCTCTGTATGGTGCTATACATTCAGTGGAATTGCAAGAATTGTCTGGGAAAAAAAGTAACAACTTGGTTTGTGGTACTTTGTGTTCTACTACCACATTGCTTCTCTGTATATAGGGCTCTGTTCCTGGATTATTGTTTCTGTTTCCTTTTTTCTTCACTGATATGGCAGTATTGTAAAGAAATGTTTTCTCCTTTTTTGAAGTGATTTTTTTTCATCTGGCCATTTTTGAATAAGTATCTTAAAAACCAATTTAGCTTATTGCTATCTTATTGTTCCTTTTCCTCCCCTGCAGATTTGGTTCAGGTGGCATTTTTTACTTGCTCCTTTGGGCTAAGTATAAAAAACATTAGCTCCCCCTGGTGTTCACTGTTCAACAAAGAAGATGCCAAGGTAAGTGTTGACTACAGGTAGTCCTTGACTTATGACCACAACAGAGCCCAAATTTTCTGTGGTTGAGTGCAGGGGTGGGGTGCAAATATTTTTACTACTGGTTCTGTGGGCGTGGCTGGGTGGGCGTGGCCATGTGACTGGGTGGGTGTGGCTTTTTTTTTCAGCAGCAGCAGCACCCCCTGCGCTCCATTTTTGTTTTTTTGCCTCCTGGGGACCCGTTTTTGCTCCCAGGAGGCCAAAAATGCCTCCTGGGCAAAGCAGTAAGACAGCGAGGGGGATCCCGGTACAACTGATCACCAGAATAGCTGATCATTGGGAGGGAAAAAGAAAGAAAAGAAAGACTGGCTTGGCTGAATCGGTAGCTATTTTTCACTGCTGATTCGGCCGAACTGTAACATTTTTTACTACCGGGTCGCCCGAACTGGGCCGAACCGGTAGAATACCACCACTGGTTAAGTGAGACATTCGTTAAGTGAGTTTTGCCCCATACTACGGCCTTTCTTACCACATTTGTTAAGTGAATCACTGCCATTGTTAAGTTAGTAACATGTTTGTGAAATGAATCTGGCTTCCCCACTGACTTTGCTTGTCAGAAGGTTGCAAAAGGACATCACGTGACCCAAGGGCACTGCAGTCGTCATAAAAACCAACCAGTTGCCAAGCAAAGAAATTTTGATTATATGACCAAGGGGATGCTGCAACGGTTGTAAGTGTGAAAATGGGCATAAGTCGTTTTTTTCAGTGATGTTGTAACTTTGAATGTTCATTGAATGAACTGTTGTAAGTCGAGGACTACCTGTATTATCTTTAAGCCATTTAATGTGAAATACCAGAGTATCCCATCTAAGCTGGCATTTTTAATTGAACAGAATGTTCAATATTTATTTCTAGGTACTTGAGTATCTGAATGATCTCAAACAGTATTGGAAGAGAGCCTATGGATATAATATTAACAGTCAGTCCAGCTGCGTACTTTTCCAAGATATCTTCAAAAATTTGGACAAGGCAGTTTCAGAGAGTAAAAGGTATGTTTTGAAGGGGAGGAAGGGAACACTACTTTGGGACTGATAACTTGCAATAGTAGATTGGCTGATTGATACTTGATAGCAATAAGTTGGCTCTGACTACCGTATTTGCTGGCGTATAAGATGACTTTTTTGCCCTGAAAAACATGCCTCCAAGTGGGGGGGTCGTCTTATACGCCAGCAAATACGGTATATCCACTGCCGGCTTTCGGATGCTTGTGGGACGCAGCAAAGGCGCCTCTGGCTTCCCAGATCCCCCGCGTCGCTTCCGCCAAGAGCCTCCCCGCGTCTCTGAATCAGGTTCGAATCCCGCTCGCCTCGCTCCGCCCGAGGCTGCAGCGACTGGGGGGAGTGAGAGCATGGGTCGCTCCTGTTGCCCCAGGCAGGGCCATGTGAAGGCTGCCCGCCTTCCTGCTCCTCCCACGGCCCCTGGCACTCCGCCCTGCCGCTGCAGCCCCGGGGATTTCTGGAGGGCGTTTCCGGTGACCCCGCCGGGATCATTTGGCTGACCTAGCGGACACGTTGCAAGAGGACTCTGTTGCGGGAAAGCCCGAGGGACTCCGCCGGGAAGGGCCAGGGTTCTGGAGTAATGCCTGCCTACTCCGAGACACGCTCCTTTAGACCAGGGGTCCCCAACCGCCGGTCCGCGGACCGATACCGGTCCGCGGAACAACTCTTACCGGGCCGCTGGTTGCTGGGCGCCGCCATCTTTTTTGACGAAAAAGTGCTTCCGGTGAGGTCACCAGAAGCACTTTTTCGTCAAAAAAAGATGGCGGCGCCTAGTTGATGCCGGTACCGGGCCGCGGTGCCCAGCTGATGCCGGTACCGGGCCGCGGCATCAAAAAGGTTGGGGATCCCTGCTTTAGACAGTCCATCTAAGAGAGTTCAAACATCCTTCACTCCCAACACAGAATAACATACACACTGTGTAAATATTGGATGATTAGTTACCGTATTTGCCGGCGTATAAGACGACT